ACTCTATGCCTACACTAGAAAAAAAAATATTTCTGAATACTGAATAATGAATATTGTGAAATGCGCGTTTGTGTTATCATCGCAACAGTGGAACACGATTACATTACACGAACATTACGGACTACGGATACCTGTTGAACTCATTGAATAGTGATTAGGTAAACATTATTGTGGTTACACCACAGAACGTTCTACCTTATCTATTCTGTGGTTCCACAGTCCACACGTCTTCCACTTCAAGTTCCACCATAATATTATTATTTTCTGTACTCGTACCTATCACCACAGAATAATGAATAATATATTATGAAAATGAAATATAATATATAAATATATCACTCCATAATATTAGCATTAAAATAATATACGCAATAATATACTTTCAAGCAATATAGAATGTTCTGTTTCAGGGTTACCACTTACCACCGTCACCGTACTTCTTATCACGATTAAATAAAACAATATTAGGAACCTTTGCTTATTAATTATTTGAGAGGACACTAAGGCTGCAGCTATACACTGCGTATTCCGCCGCGTTTCGAACGCGGCGTATTACGCCCGTCGTGTATAGCTGCTCCGATTTAAACCAATGCGTTATTAATTCTACGGAAAACGCCGCGGGAAACAATGCGGAATACGCCGTGTATAGCCCCGGCCTAATGCTACACCCACATATTGTATTGTCTGTGTCTCCGCCGACCGCCTTACAGACACATAACATTGCACATTTTGCATTCTGAATTATTAATCTACTAAGCATTACAGCGAATTGACCTATTGTAAAAGTAAAATTAAGAAGTAAGAATATTATCATTTTTAAATTGTAAATGGTTTGTACATTTAATAATAGGTACCCATGACTCGCTTTAAAAGTAAAATATAAAAAAGGTGCTCTACTGTACAGTAGGTAGTTTACAAGTGGGTCACTGTATAATGGATGGTATTAAATTTGAATTCAATAATATAATATCATTGTACAAGAAAAACGATTCTGAGCGGAGACGGTATCAGTCTAGATAAGACATATTATTATATACTTATCTAAGGTATTAATAAAAAAATTGTACCTATAACCAATTCCATATAAATAATATCACAATATCCATTAGGTACTTATAACGCGTTATACATCAACAACAAACCGTGATACTATAATAGATATATAATAGTATACTTTAGAAGTTTCAATTACCCACGAATAATATTATACGCAGTCACAACAAAATAACAAATAATTATTCTAGGTTTTAGATTCTGAGTGAAACGATGAATGTATTGATTTTACAATGATGTCTGTTTTTTTTTAATTTTTTATTTAATTTTTTAATTTTTTTTTGTGTCTGTCATCACGTTTTAGGACAGTAAAAGTGCTTGGAATTTCTTCAAGAATTTCTTCGTAAAAATTTTTCTTTTTAAATCTAAGATTTGAAAATGTAATACAAGATTCCTTATAAGATTATCTATCTTTATCAAAAAAAAAATGTCTATAAGAAAGTCAAACTAAATTTTTATGAGCGTTTGAAATTCAAATTTTTACATCATTGGATATTCACTCGATTTCTCATGTAGCGATTTCTTTATTTTGTTGTAATTCAAAAACGAATATCTGTAGATACATGAAAATTTCACTGAATATTTATATTAGCATTTCCTATACACCATACAATTTTTAAAATATTTTGACTCTTTTTGAGCTGTTTACGGACATTTACAGCTTTCAATTTTGTTTAGTTTTTTTTCTATAAATATCAATTAAGTTTTATCTGTTGGGCCAAAAAGTGTAAAAATTTAATACAAGGCTCCTGATATATTGTTACAATAGCAGTTGAAAAATATTAAAAATACATAGGCACAGTTTTTTTTTATAAGCATTTAAAGATCGAATTTTGACAAAATTTATCAAAATCTCGAAAATTATCAATCATTGTAATTAATAAATTATAAAATGTTCAGTTTTTATAGCTAAGGATTGCAAATTTAAAACAAAGGTTCTCATAAATAGTTCATACTGTAACCAAAAAATCTAAAAAATATATGAACACAGTTATTTTTACAGACATTTTAAATTCAAATTTGGCTGAAATTACATATTAAAAAACCTAGAATAACTATTTTAGTTATTTTGTTGTGATTGAATAATATTATTCGTGGGTACTTGAAACTTCTAAAGTGTACTATTATGTATCTATGATAGTATCACGGTTTTTGTTGGTGTATAACGCGTTATAAGTACCTAATGGATATTGTGATACGATTAATTTAGAACTTATTATAGGTAGGTACCTATTATAGGTCAATTTTTTATTTAATACCACAGATGATAGATATGTATATAATATGTCTTATACATACACTGACATACCGTCTCCGCTCAGAATTGTTTTTCTTATACGATGATATCATATCGTTGAATCCATTATACAGTGACCCACTTGTAACCTACTGTACAGCAGAGCGACACCCACTTGCCCACCTTTTTTTAATTTTTTTTTTATTTTTATTTTTTTTGGTGTCTGTCATCACGTTTTAGGACAGTAAAAGTGCTTGGATTTTCTTCATCAGTAGCTTTTCTGATAGGAAAGTGAATCTAGTTGGTACTTTGTGGGGTCAAAAGTAAAAATTTCTCAGTAGTTTTCACAAGCGCTAACCTACTGTACAGCAGAGCGACACCCACTTGCCCACCTGTTTTATTATGTAATTTCGTCCAAATTTTAACTTAAAATGACTATAAAAATAAACTGTGCTTATGTATTTTCTAAATTTTTTGGTAACAGAATTAACTTCTTACGTGGAATCTTGTTTTAAATTTTCAATCCTTAGATATAAAATTTGAACATTTTATAATTTTTTTACTACAAAATAATTATTCAATTTTAAATTTGATAAATGTTGTCAAAATTCGATCTTTAAATGCTTATAAAAAAAATTGTGCATATGTATTTTTAATATTTTTCAACTGATATTCTAACAATATATCCAGGAGCCTTGTACTAAATTTTTACACTTTTTGTCCCAACAGATAAAACTTTATTGGTATTTATAGAAAATGAACTAAAAAAATTGAAGACTGAAAATTTCCATAAACAGCTTAAAAAGAGTCAAAATATTTTCAAAATTATATGGTGTATAGGAAATGTTAATATAAACATTCAGTGAAATTATCAAGTATCTACAGTCATTCGTTTTTTAATTACAACAAAATAAGAAAATCGTTACATAAGAAATCGAGTGAATATCAAATGTTGTAAAAATATGAATTTCAAATGCTCATAAAAATTTAATTTTAGTTTCTTGTAGACATTTTTTTTTTGATAAAGCTAGGCAAACTTATGAGGAATCTTGTATTACATTTTCAAATCTTGGATTTAAAAAGAAAATTTTTTATGAATTTCTAACTCAAAATAATTTGCTAATTTTCGTGATTTTTCCATATTTTGTCAATATTTGAACTTTAAATGCTTATAAAAACAAATTGTGATTAAGGATTTTTATTTTTTTTCATCTGCCTTTGAAACAATATTCTAGGAGCCTTCTATTAAATTTTCAAGCTTTTTAACCAACATTGTATGTCATTCATTTGTTTAAGAGATGCACCAAAAACCAAAATCGATTTTTTCGAAAACAGATTTTGTGTAAAAATTCCTAATTTTTCTTTTGGTTTTCACTGCTCTTTTGAAAATTACTTTGAAATTTTTACTTTTGACCCCCCCAAAGTACAAACTAGATTCTTTTTCCTATCAGAAAAGATACTGTTGAAAAAAACCTAAGCATTTTTACTGTCCTAAAACGTGATGACAGACACAAAAAAAAAATAAATAAAAAAAAAACACATCATTGTAAAATCAATACATTCATCGCTTCACTCAGAATCTAAAAAGCCCATGAGATTCAGTATATAATATTCCTAGTCCCTAGATAATAATAATCTAATACCATATAATATTCTTACTTCTATTCTCATTTCTGAATTTGATGATAGGTCAGTGGCGTAGTCAGAGGAGGGGCTGAGGGGGCTGCAGCCTCCCTCTCCCCGAAATGTTATGAAAATTAAAAAGTTATTTTAATGGTCTATGATAGTCTCTCAAAAAGTCTTAAAATGTATTTAAAATATTTAAAAATGCTTTATAAGTATTAACACTTTTCAGCTATTTATCTGTGTTAGTACGTATTTAATGTGTAAAAGTGTAAAAATCAGCCCCCGCCCCCTAAAAAAATCCTGGTTACACCACTGTGATAGGTCTATCCAATCCAATATGGTCTACGAGCTTTACCAGTACATCACCTATAATTGTTCAATACCTATTGCCTATACCTAGAGTATAATACATAGATTTTTAGTATATAGTTCCCCATTGGCGTATCTGGGGGGGGGTACATTTTTAGTATATTTTACTTTTTACTATTTTAGTTATATTTTTATAATAAAAAAACATTTAACTTGAAACAGGTTTTGGCTATTTTGTAATTTTATTTAATTAATAATTATACACTGTACTATCGACTAACAGAAAAATAAATTACTAATATAAAATATTAATATTAATTAATTATAAAATATCTTCAGAGAGATAAAGGATGAAAAACTGAAACACCGTCACCGTCAGAAACATTTTTCTTTTACAATGATTTATTATTGAATTCAATTTTTACATCCCCATTAGAATTATCTACTCTGGAAATAATTAAATAATAAATATAATGATTACAGTCTACAGATAAGCTACTAAACATAATATAGTGAGGGAAAATTATTGAAGTGTTTACGGTTTTACAGTTATCAACAAGTTTTGGGATGCAGTGTGCCTCTATATAAGTTTCCAGCATCCCTACTGTTACTATGGTAACCCTGGATGGCTGGATGTGTAATAAAAATCAATAACAATATACGTACGTACAATATATTTAACTTGTGTTGAGTACAGCTCACTTACCTTGTCTGCTTAGTATCTGCTTAAAGTTTTAATAAAATATATTAATTCGTTTTTTTGTTATTAAACAAAATGTCAAAAACAACATCGTTGGACATCGACGGAATGAGTAAGTTAAGAAAATCATTAATTTATAAAATAAAATACTACGTTTAACTCAATTTTATATAGGCATCTCTATATTTAAATAAAATATTAAATAGTTTTGAGTTTTTTCACTAAATGGTTCAAAAAAAAAAATAGAAATAGGTACTGGATCATCATTCACTAAGCATGGTCATTCCTTTTTTTCTTCAATGATGCATAGTTATTCGAAATCTGATTTTTGGAATTTTTAAATAAATCTTTTAATTCTTAAAATTGTTCGTACTAATTGTACTATCTACTAAAGAAGTGTCCAGATGAGAATGAAGAAACATGAAGATACAAACTTCTGATTTTAATATAAGAACCCCCTTTTTTACTCAGTGATGGTCAACAGGGGGCTGATGATGAGGGGTGATACTAATTTATATTAATAATTAACAACTTATATATTAATATTGATAATTTTAGATTCTGAGGAGAGCGATGAATGCATTGATTTTACAATGCTTTTTTTTTTTATTTTAAATTTTTTAATTTTTGTGTCTGTCATCATCGTTTTTGGCAGTCAAACTGCTTCGATTTTCTTCAACAGTATATTGTTTGGTGGGAAAGTGAATCTAATTAGTGCAATTCCTAAAGGTCGCTCCACACTATGCATTTTTCGCGTTTCATAATGTTTCGTAGTGTTTCGTAGAAAGGTATACACACTATGCATGTTTCGCGTTTCGCGTTTCGTGATTCACGTTTCGTAGTGATAATAATTATAAACTTCCTGTTTACATGAGAAACGCGAAACTACACGAAAAACAACAAAATACAACGAAACGACACGAAACAGTACGAAAAATATTTTCGTGTCCTTTGATTTCGTCAATTTTACCGCCTCGTTCGCGAAACACTACGAAACCGTTTTCACGAAAAAAAATTTCGTGAAAAAGCTATACACACTATTCACGAAATTCTACGAAAACGTGAAAACATGAAACGCGAAACGCGAAACATGCATAGTGTGGAGCGACCTTTATAGTTTTCAAAAATTCAAGAAAAAACAAAAAAAAATTAAGGAACACCAGGAATTTTTACACAAAAACGGTTTTCGACAAAATTGATTTCGGTTTTTAGTTAACTCAAACAAAACAAAAGACATATTCACTAAAAGTTTGTATTATATTTTTTTATACACGATAAAATTTTCAAAATATTTTGACTTGTTTTGAGCTGTTTACGCGGACATTTTCAGTATTTATTATAAATTATATTATTTTCATATTTATTCATTAGGTCATAAAGCTTCAAAATTATGTATACAATAAATTATAATATATCCTATATAGGTATTGTTACAATGACAGTTGAATAATATTAAAAATGCAAATATGATAAATAATGTTCAAATTTCGACAAAAATACGTAAAAACCACGAAAATGTGCTAATTATATTTTGAGTTAGAAATTCATAAAAATTTTCTTTTTAAATATAAGATTTTTATTTGAAAATCTAATTGAAAATTCCTCATAAGTGTCTCGACCCTTATCAAAAAAAAGGGTCTAACGGAAAGTCAAATTTAATTATTTTTTTTTGGACAAAACCTATTTTGATTTTTGGTGTAACTTTAAAATAAACCTGTAGATACATGACATTTTCACTGGTTGTTTGTATTAGCATTTTCTATACACGTTTCTATAATATTTTTAAAATATTTGGATTTGTTTTGAACTGTTTACAGACATTTTCAATTTCCAATTTCTTTAGTTTTTTTTTTCTTTGAATGTCAATAACATTTTATTTGTTTGGTAAAAAAGCTTAAAATTGAATACAAGACTCTTATTAATATATTGTATTTTAAAAATTTAAAAATACAGACAACATTTTTATAAGCATTTAAAATTAAAAAAATGATTTTGTAGTTAAAAAATTATAGCTAAGGATTTAAAATTTAAAACAAGGTTTCACATAAATAGGTAAATAAATAATTTTATTTACAATAATATCATCAAAATATATACTATTATAGTAATATCACTGACCGTCTTCTCTCAGAATCTTTTTTCGTACATAATGATATTATATCATTGAATTAAAATTTAACCCCAGCCACTACAGCGGTGACCCATTTGTAACCTTACTGTACAGCAGATCGACAACCACTTGCCAACCTTTTTTTAAATGGTTTAAGTATAATTTTGTAAATCAAATTTTAGAAATATTATCCTTAGTATAGACATATTGATAATTAGAAATAACTACTCTTTTGAACTTTAAACTAAATAAATACTTAAAAATATTCAAGAAAATTATCCACTAAATAATTTACCGTAAAAAGCGAGGGTTCTCTTTAAAAACAGAAGATTGTATTACCCACAGGACAATATTATCTTTAATTATATTATTTAAAAAATCATAATTTGAATAAATTCATTATTATTAAATAAAAAATAAGGGTGAGCGTGATTGGTGAAACATCCTGTGTTTTTATACCGTAATAATTAGACCAGGATTATATGCATTTGCATATCTGCATATGCAATTGCATATAATCGCCTTTTTTTTTACCATTATATTTATATATGCATATTTCATTGATCGCGATGTAAAATGGCATATAATCGTATTTTGAAACAAAAAACACACAGATTAAATGTGTTAAAACGCATACGATATAGACATACAGTACATACCGACCGAACTAATTGACCGGACGAGTGTCTACTGCCGTCGTTATTTATATATTTTATATATTATTTTTATTATTATATTTTTCTAAAATTCCAGAACTAATTACAAGTCTAGAAGCAAGAAATTTGCTACTACACAATTTATTAAAAGTTATGGAGGAATTATTAACAACAGCATCTGAACTGCCTGACGTATTTTCAGAAAAAATCAAAACAAAGATTACCTACTCGATTACTGAATAAAAATCCCGGCTATGATTTCCTAAGTATGATCGAGTATTGGGCAGTACTGTACTGCCCAATGCAATAACGAGTAACATAGCTTCTAAGTTTAAATACTGTCCTGTGATGTTGAACGGTCATTTTCTGCATTTAAACTTATTTTGGATGACAAGCGTCATAGTTTTACAATGGACCACTTGGAGCAATATCTAGTAATATACTGCTACGAGAACTACAGTTCTAAATAAATATACATAAATGTAATATAATAAATAATAATTATTAATTATAAATTATAATAATTTTTTTTTGTTAATAAATTTCATCATCATAATTTTTTCATATTGTTTTTAAATTTAATTTTTAGTGCATTTTTTAACATAGTCTATGCATATTTCTGTATTTTATGTTGCATATTTGCATTCACATGATAGTTTATTTTCACTGCATATAATCCGCGGTCTAGTAATAATTTATTATGTACACTATGACTATACAAGTCATACGACAACGGATACAATCTTTTAACTGAATTATGAAATTGTATAATAATTACATATTATGTGAATGTATCAGTATTAACTATCTATACCAATATATAAATTATCAAGTGTATTATGTTGCTACCCTAAAAGATATAATAAATATAGCTACAATAATATAATGTAGGAAATAAATAAAATACCTAATATTTACAATTTCAAATAGTTTAACCTTTTTAGTCCATAGGTACATTGACTTAACCCTTTGACTTCGTAATATATTAATACATTCTGCATGCATTATGTTTGAGGGGTACCTATCAACTATGACCTAGATATACTTATCTATATATTCTTATTTCTACCTATTACCTACCTATCTATAACATATTGTATTTTAGTTAATGTATAATAATCAATTTTGAGAACATTTATTAAGAGGACGTGATACCCGCATGCGTTTTCTCCGTCTCAAAAGTGCGTAACATAGCAAATTTTACGCTCAGCGGAACACGTGTAGCTCCGTGTAGCTCCGTTAAGGGGATCGCATCACACGTATTTTTCGTACGTTTTTGACCAATAAGCGGTGGTAAATTACACATACTTCCGTATGTCCGATTTTAATTTTTAATATGTATATGAATTCTTTGGCTAAATCCTTATAGCTAGGTATTCAAAAAAACGTCACGTCATTTAAATTTAACGTCGTCTGGCTGAGATATTAATAGACCAGACACATTGTATACCTATATTATATACCGATGTATTATATTATTTATTTGTATATTATTGATTGATGGAGCACTGATGTAAATATTATTTTTGTTCTTAGGTGCTGAGGAGAAAATCGAACAAATTAAAATGATGCGAGATTTGATTCGTCTCAAAGAGAAGTCTGGGGATGGATGTAACTCTGCGTTTCAAAAGATCGGGAAGAAAAAGAACCTTATCAGCGACACAGTTATGTCAGCTGTGTTTGTAACTAGTTTCGTTTTGATTGTGGCAATGGCATTATATTCGTTTCGGACTCTATACCTTGCCATACAGAAAAAATTTCCTTCCCAACACACAGAATTGTAATTACAGACACAAAAAAATGATTTATTTATAAACAATTATTTTAACTTAGACATTTAATTTAACATTGTAATATGTAGGTAGTTTTAAATTTTAATATAAAGATTATCATACTAAAAAAAAATACAATAATATTTAAAAAATATCCTAATAATATTGTACAATATATGTCTTTGAGACTAAATTTTAAATTAAATTAACACTTATTTATTTCCAGTTTCTATTAGTTTTTTTAAAATTGTCATATTTTCTGAAGCCACAGCTTGTCGATAAGAAGTTATTGTATCTGTTCTGTTATTGTTTACTAAAATAACAAAATTACATTGTATTTAAAACTTTTAATTTAACTTATTATTATAATATAATGTAAAACAGTATTATATAGACACTAGTAAATAGAAATCACTAAATATTACTAACTATATAGGAATATATTAATATAATAGGTATAAATAAACATAAGTAATAACTATACCTAAAACGTATAAACAACTCGAATATTGTATAAATTAATTTTATAATTTTATATTGATTGGATTCTCATTTCTTTTAAAATTGATTTTCAAAATGGTAAAATTATAACGAAATTCAAGAAACTGAGCGTCAGAAAAACATTTAAATTATAGACATGAACCTACCTGTACGGCTGTCGTATACGCCTGTATAATATATACGCCTACCTACTTAATACATTTGTTTACTCATCTTTACCTATAGTAAGCTAAATATGTATTGTTTATACTAATATTAATATCTATGTATTTTTTTTTTATAAATGATCACTAACCTCTAAGTCGAGAAGCATTCTGTATAATATTATTTATTTTCTTCAGTGTAACTAACAATTGTTCATGGTTTTCACACGTAACTTGATGATTTTGAATCATTTGTTTATCGATATGAAATATATCGTTCAAACATTTTTCCATATTGGACCTTAATAAAACCTCAAACAATTAAAGTATTATGTTGATAGTTGAACAAAAAAATAATCCTTCTTACGCATTAGCGTATATAGGGGGTGGGCCTAACGGGCTGCAGCCCCCCCCCCCGAAATTGCGGTATTTTTAAATAGATCAACAATATATTTTATTAGGTACTATTATAAGTTATAATATTTCATAGCCTGTTGAAAAATAACAAATACGAATATATTTATAGAAACTGTTAAATATATATATAGCAGCCTCTAAGTAATAGATCACTTGCTAGTTTCTATCTACTATATAGCCCACCCCAAAAATTATTTCTTAATACGCCACTGTTCTTACGTGTCATCTAAAAGCCGAAAGTCTTCTGCTTGAACAATGAGATTTTTCAACAAAACTGAACTATCGGCTATCGAAGCATTTAATTTAACTGCGTTCTGCTGGAGAGTCTTAACACTTTGTATACTTTCCCATAAATCATCAAGAACTTTGGGGAATTCTGCTAGAGACTATATTAAAAAACAATTAATGAACATTATTCATTAGATACATTTTAACCTATTGTAATATTAATCCTAACTCACATCAATTTGATCAAGGTTAAGATATGATGCTAGCGTCTGTACAATATCGGCTGTAAAGTTTATGTTCCTTGAATATATCAACATCACTTCTTTTTCAAAAGTCACACAAGTAAGAGAAGAATCTCTTAACGACTTTATTGCTATTTTCCAAAAGTCTTGACCGTTGGTTTTAACAGGAGTTTTTTGGGGCACAATAAAATTTTGACTTAGCCATAAATCCAGCTGGAAAAAATAAATTAAAATTATTCGCAATACAAACAAAATGTATAAATATATTCTTACTCTTTGAACCCTTTCAACTAAACGAAATTTGACAAAACTTTTGGGAACATCTTCATTTTCTGGATAAGAAACTAATAAATACATTGAAAATTTTGGCAACTGCCGGGTAAGTTCAAAAACATGAAATTGATCATTATCCACACTTGATCCAACAAAAGCCTAAAAAATTAAAATAATATTTTCGATTTTAATTTTATGGAGCGTCCAATTTGTAAACGGTTTTTTAATGAATTGGGTCTATAATATATAATAATACTATAGTCTATAGCATTAAATTTTAGTGTTTTACATTAAGAATAAATATATATTATTATTATCACATATTTTTTTCTAATGATTTTTACATATGTATCACCATTTCAGTGGTTTGGTCATTATAAAACATAATATATGAAGGCTATAGCTATAGCATTTATATATTAGTTTAAACGTAGTATATTGAATATTACGAATTTAACTAAAGCAGATATTAACAATTAATGTGTAACTTTAATATAATTTATTTAATTAAAATATCCACAGTACCTACGGTTTACATAATAATTAATTTCAATTTCAGAAAATACATAAGTAGGTATTTTAGTATTTTCGTAAGCTTCTTAATTATAATTATCATCGGTAAGTAGGTAGGAATACTTATGAAGTTAGGTAGGTATATCCATTATATTTCTGCTAAACTCACAGGCTTATCAAAACCGGGAACTTTCTTTGTTGTATACCTAGTAGCCGATCGTTGGCGTCGAATGTATACCTCGTCCTCGTAATTGAGTTGGTAACTTCTGTAATAGAAAGTTTACCTAAAGATTGTACTATTGTAGTATGATCAGGGCCGCATTTATGGGGGGAGTACAACTGCCCCGGGTACCAGTATTTTAGGTTAATGTTGTGGTCAGAAATTTGTTTACTTGTGAATTATTTTAATTTTATAATTTTAATTATTTTAATAGCCATGCAGTATTATATAATATAATTTAGTATAATAGTATAATATATTAGCATAATATTTTGGGGCGCAAAATGTCTAAATGCGGCACTGAGTATGATCCATACTATGGATTCCATAGTCTATAAGACTATAAACCTAGCTTGTAATCTATGTTTAATTCGATGATATGTACTATGTAGCCATGTGCCCATGTAGGTATACGAAAATTGATATTGGGTGGATACCGTTTGCCAGACTAATTTATCTACTATAGAACCTTATCATACCTATAGCCTATAGGTATTAATGTATTAAACTGTGTTAGGGTGCACTTTAATATTTTGAAAACATCATAGTGTATAATATAGTTAATAAGTAATAATAATATACGCAATATTGAAAAGTTTCAACTCCCTGTATATAAGAATAATATTGTTGAATAACAATAACAGACAACAGACAACAGAGTTACTACATGATTTTATAAAATCATTATTTTTTGTTTTAATATTCGATTTTAGGAAGTGTCATTAATGGGTGGCTCCTTTCGTCAAAATAATGTCATATTTGTTACTTTTAGCCTATATATTCTTATTATATTTTATGATACAGTCGATACAGATTGTATATTGCTTGTAAAAATAAAAAAGAATATCCGATTTCATCAATAATTATAGAACTTTTAATTGCTAGTTTTAGAAAATGTCATAACATTTTCAAGCGTTATCTATTAAAGTTCATAGTTATATATGTATATTTTTTTTTTCTGTATTTGTTCATTGAAACGACCTCTAGGTTTTCGTCAATGCTTATCACAATAGTGGGTTTAAGGGAGATCATGTGATCTATTTATCTATGTATATATCAATATATGCATGATGCAACCCCACTCCTCCTGCAAGAGGAGGAATGTTCGGTCTTCACTTCCATTGGAGTGTGTCCTAGTTGGAAACCGGATGATGCAATCGGATGACAACAGGGGGAAATGCCAAATGGCGATCGCGTAGAACCACACAAATTTATTTTGCACTGTGCTATGAATCGAACCGATGACTGTGTGAGTTGTAGTCAACTGCGTGACCACTGCGCTGCTCCAGCCCCAATCATAGTTATATGAATTTTTATTTTATTTTTATTTCCAAATAATTTATGGATTTTCGTGACTTTTGACGAATTTTGTAAAAATATGAACTTAGATAGGTAATAAAAATAATTGGGAACATGTTATTTTGACATTTTTAATTGCTTTATATAAAACTTATCAGGAATCTTGTATTAGATTTTCAAGCTTTTTGACCGAGCTTAAATATTTGTATTAACATTTATATCAACATATATAAAATACATTTTTTATTTTAAATTCCTGCAATTAGCTTAACATTATTCTACTTCAAAATCTTCATAGTGTATAGAAAATTCAAATTAAATTAAAAGTGGAATATTTCAAGGTTCACAATTAAAATTTTTGAATTACCTACAGCAAAATAAGAAAAATTGTTATTTTATAAGTTTATAACCTTTAAAGCCTTTTTACAGCTATCAAGGGTGAATTTCCGATTTCATCAAATGCTCATGTAAAAAATAATCTAACTTTATGAAATTAATTTTTTTTGTGCCAGTACGAACCTTGTATTTGCTTTTGAATTACAAGAAAATAACGAATTGATTTCTTTAAAAATTGATGTTACGTAAATATTCTCTTTTTTCCGAATTATTGTTTTGTTTTTTGATAATTAAAAAAATTACATTAAATTTTCCACTCTAGAGTCTACAAGCTTATCTCACTATAATTGATGTCAAGTTTTTAATCTAATATTCTATATAATATACATAGTAATAATATTATAGGGACTTTATAGGTATGTACATATTATACGCTTAGATTACGACAATTGTTTTTGATACTTGATAGTCTATATTGAAAATATTTGTAGTTATGCTTTTAATTTGAAAATATTAGTCTCTCAGCTAGGATCATAAAAGAGTTAGGAACAAATATAATTTTCAAACTGAAAGAAAAATGTTTTCCTATTGCAACTGACGAAAGTACTGATATTTGTAGTATTTCTCGATTATTAAAATTAATTCAGGGATTTTATTTGAATTTTAATGTTTCTGAAGAATTGGTTGAACTATGTAGATTGAAGGGAACTTCTATAAGAGAATCAGGAAAAGACTAAAATCAATACAACACTTAAAAAGTTTGATATAAGTTGGAATAACTAACCAGTGTGACAGTGTTACTATACAGACGATGACAGCTAGATTTTCTTGAGAAAATAATTGCAAAAATAGTGAAAGAAGGATAAGAAGCACCTATATGGGCTATGATATTTTATTGCATCATATATCACGATTCACGAGGGCAGAGGCAGTATACTATTATAGTATAACGGTTTGTTGTTGATGTATTACAAGTTATAAGTACCTAATGGATATTGTGATATGATTAATTTGGAATTAGTTATAGGTACCTATTATAGGTCAATTTCTTTTTTAATACCATAGATATGTATATAATATGTCTTAAACCTAGACTGACATACCGTCTCCGCTCAAAATCGTTTTTCTTACACAATGATATTATATCATTGAATTCAAATTTAATACCATCCATTATATAGTGACCCACTTGTAACCTACTGTACAACAGAGCACCTTTTTATATTAAATTACATAAGTTACTTAATTACTATTTACTATTATATTTGTACCTACATTTTTTTTCTTAGGTAACTAATATTATTAAATACTACGCAGTTCAATATTGTTTATGAATTTAATTAGTTTTATGGACGTCTTGCAAATCAACTTTATGTTGGGAAACTTTAAAATATTTTTTAAAATATAATTGAAGATTTATTAAGATAATTAATTTTTAGTACAATTTTCTGGCTTCAATGTACACAAGAAAAAAAATAAGTTGTTTCAAAACCTTTTTTCTGTTGACAATTTGACATTGACAATATTGAATTTAATTAACAGATGGAAGCCATATAACTCCAAACAACGATATTCTTACAAGTTATAACTACTTTTAAACAAAGTATAATAACTTAAACATTTTCTATTCAAGTCTTTCCAATTTATTACTATTTTTGGTAGCACTTATAATAATGAGCAGAAACGAATTTCATTTGTGAAATATCGAACAATTTATATTGTTCCTGATTAAGCATCGAAAACTTGAATTCAGTATTATAAATATTAACATCCATCAATATAAATAAGCAGATGTAAGGAATAACGAATTTGAGAAAATAATTAATCAACAATTACAATACAAACTAAATATGTTTATACTTTTATCACTCAAGAATTAATTTTTTGATTCAAAGCAATTAAAATAAAATAAAGTTTTTTAAAAATTTTTAATTTTTCTCTATTATTATATTTTACTCAAAATTAGTTTATAAAGACAACCATTCAATGTCACTCATAATATGATTTAAGACAACATATTCTATAAATTATAGACTACCAATAATGTACCTATATGTATTAGATGTAATAATTGTAGTTTCATTTTTTAATAACGTTTAATTTTAATTTGTAACGTGATTCGCAATGGAAAGCTGATAAAAAAATAGGGCATACGTAGATAAAAAGGTTTCCGACACCTACTATAAACAAATAATTGGAGAATTGTAGTATAATATTATAATGCACTAATAATATATACTGCATAAGGATAAACTATAATATTATCTATCTAATCCCAACAGTTGATGAAATAACAATTCAACGATACAAAGAGCAGGGACTAAAATTGTGTGTAGTATGATACACTTTGTGTAATACGAAATATTAAGTGTGAAATAAGAAATTAAAAAGTGTGTAATGGCCTGTACTAGTAACTTAGTAAACTAATTACTTTTTTTAAATTTTTTTCTTCATTATTTGAAAAATTATTCGATGATACATTGGGAATAGATGGATAAGATTTATAAATATTATTTTAGGGGTCGTTTTTACAAGTTTTACTTATAGATACAATATTTAAAATATTTAAAATATTGTAAAATAAAAATAAAAATATTTCGAATGATCGATAGGTTAAATAAAACAAATAATAATTATCAAACAATAGTTAATGAATGTAGGTACCTATTCTTTTAAAAGAACCATTAACATATAATGTATCATGTATGTTGTTTCAAAAAAGTAAAAGTTTATATAAAGTGTGTAGAACGAACAATTTTTTATTTTAGCCTCTGACAAAGAGTTCCCTGAAACAAAAATTGTGGCTTTTTGGCTCTTTATAATATCAATATACCATCTATTATCATTTCTGTATAATAATATAAATTATAATTTATAATCTGCCAAGAAGAAGGAAAAAATGGGAAAGTCACCCTTACCTAAAAAAAGTTTATTGCAATTATTTTATAATAAGTATTTTAGAAAAAAACTCTTATTTAAGTTATTCTTGTAGTCCATGATCAAGCGTTATGGTATCACTATTTAATATTTATATTTTTATAATATTTACTTATTGCGTATTATGTGTATATTGAATACACTTAAAAATATAAAGGATAATATTTTTTCTTTTGTAACTAAAGAGACAAATTACAATAATTGAATTCAATAATATCAATGCATTCTATTGAAATTGGTTTTATTAAAAAAAAAAAATATATATATATACCTACCTATTAAATATAATAAATTTACGAGGTACAGTTTTTTTTTTACTTTTGTAGCTATAATGTATTAAACAAATACTTACTCGAATATGAATGTCCAGAAGTATATCTTTCGGAGGTAATAAAGTGATCTTCAATTCAGACGAAATACACTCTCTATCAGGATGTACAACATGTGTTTCATCTTCAAAAATACCTTCGGCAAACACTGTGACTGCTTTTAAAATCATTGAATTGTTAGTTGACAATGTAAGTAATACACATGGTTCCTATACAAACGCATATATAGTGAATAATGAAACTTTATTAATCACGGAACTATTAATAAAATAATAAAGATCAAAAAATCAAAATAAACGTACAATGGTTTCTTCCGAAACTGATATTTCAGTGATGAGCCGAGTGTCTCCCTAAACAACGATATCACAATGATAAAATCACATTAAATATTACACCCGTACTTAGTATTGGCATATCATAATTCAAAATTTTATTGTAATTGTTAATTAGACATTTTCCTCTCAAAAATGTTTAAGGAAAGATCATTTTTCTTCCCGTGATAAATATTAAAAATGCACAATAATAAAGTGACAAAAAAAATCTTACTGGAATGCCCTGGCCTTCATTGGTGGCCTTAGTGTAGTTATTTAATTCTGACATGAGTATTTGTCTCTTTTGTAAAAGATCGTGGATAATATTTGTTTGCACACCAGATTCTACCCTTAAACTTGTACTATCGTATCCTCGGACTAGAAAACCATGTTAATGACATTAATTATAACAATTAATATCAACAATATTCAGGGCCGGATTTAGACTATCAGATGCCAGGAGCAAATCTTTTTTTAGACGAGTCTAACGGCTCTAACAGTAAACAACTAACACCCAATATCATAATAAATAATAATTAAGGAATAATATTAAAAAATTGCAAATTTGCACGTTTAACCATCGTCCTAAAAGTGATTATTTCAAGTGTGAAATACTACTGTTTATGTATCTAACAAAACTTTCAAAATTAATTTAAACATTGCAATATTATAATAATTAAAGCTCTATAACTTGAAGAGTAAAAATAAGTATCTATTAATCTCTTAACATTTTATTTATTAAAGTTTTGAAATTAAATCTTTACACTGTTACATTAATAATAAATTATAATTATAGTTTAATGTTTAATTAATTTTAACACTTTCAAATTTATATCTTGTACTCCGGCATCCGGAAGCCCCCCAAACCAATCTATAGGACAAATGGACGTAGTCATTTGGACGTGGCCGTTTGGACGTATCTGTTTATACTTGGGGACAATTGGACGTAAAAAAAAATAATAATAATAATCAATCAATAAAAATATCAGCAGTAAAAATTAAAAATTAAAATACAATATTAAAAAAAATTTTTTATAATACACGAATAGATCAGAAATAGAATATTTAAAGAAAAATTTTAAAATTTTAAAAATTAATAATTTAATATTATTTGTAATTAAATTAAATATTTTGTGTGATTCTACTTTAATGTATACTTTAATGTATTTTACTTCTGGTTTATATATAAATTACAAAATCAATGATAATGTGTTCATAATACAACTAAAATGGTATCGTATCGTATACCTACCGTACTTTATAATTTCTACGTAGTGTCGTAGACCGTAGTTATACTACCATATTGTATCACTTTTGTGAGGAATCAACATAAATATTTGACATTAATAATATGTATTTTAACATTTTGATTAAAATTATATTACCCATATAGTAAGTATAAATAATATGAATAAGTATAATTGTTTTTGATATTGTATTTTAATTTGTTTTGCACCACAAATGTGTTATAATAAATTAGGATTTTTTTTTGATATTAATTTTTGACGAATTATAATAAAATTAAATAACTGTTTTTGATATTGTATTTTAATTATTAGTTTTTACTTCGTATGTTTGTATTGATTGATTTATTATATATTTTTTTTAAATCCATTTGTCCCTATTCCAAACATCCGTTGCCCGGGGCAAATGCACTTAAAACCCTCCGTAAAATCCGGTACTGACAATTGACATATTTATTATTTTATAAGAAAATAAATTTACAATTCTAATATACATTAATTGTATACCTTCACCAGCAATCGAAACTACAATCATTTGACATTTTCCGGCTCTTATGTAATCTCCAACAACTACACCAGCAATGCTATTAGATAATACATCTCTAAAAATTACTTCTCCAGTTATAGAGTTGCGTGCATCTACTTTTCCATTTGACCATCCAGTTATTAATTCTTCTTTTCCATCTCCATCTAAATCATATTTTTCGAGGAAATTCACTGAACTTTTTGACTAAAAATTATTATAATTAAAAAAAAAAAACCATTCCCAAATCACAAATCACAATATTAGTTTTATTAATTTTTAAATTAAACTATTAATCCTTATAATAATAATATAATATATTAGTTTTACTTATATAAAATATAAATTGCTTGCAAATCGAGTAATATACTAATATGTATTCAAATATTCAATGTAATTCAATGTATTAATAAAAAAAAGTAATAATAATAAATGTAAATACTAATGGTTATGAAAAAAAAATATACGATCTGTTATCTACTAATTATTATTTATTTTTACCTTGACTCTCCACACACGCCGAAATTTATCGTATACACCAACAGTTCCATTGTCTAATGCATAAGCAAATCTTCCAATAGAAAAACTAATTAATGAACAGATTGATGAAGTTTCAGATATTTCATTTACAATTATATCATCTTTAAATTCCCTTATTTCATAATCGTCAGAACCCACGAGTAACTGAAATGTAACAAATGTATATTTATTATTATTATTTTTTGCATAGTAACTACCTATACTATTACAATTAAGTTATAATACAGGGTGTTTCACCCTGTAATTATGCAAATGTAATCATGCTTAATTCTCACCCAGTCCTGACCTAACCAGGCTAACCTTTTAGCAAAAAATGGTTTTTTTTAACACCTATATATTATATTATATTATATCCTTCCCCACCGGCCCTACCTACCGTTGAATATGGCACTAATGAGTGATTTCTTTCAAGTAATCGCGTGTTATTTATTATATCATTATACTCTCTCAGTGATGAGTGATGAGTCTTGTCAGTTATCATATAGGTTTTAAATTTAAATTCATGGTTTTAACTAAACCCGAGTTATGTACTTACGCCTTTCAATAAGAGTGAGGAATAAAAGAATAAAATGCATCTCAGAGTTTGTTGCAAACTTACAAATGTATATACTATGTACCTAGTCATACATTTAAATATATTATTATTGGCTATTATATAAATATATAATAATGATATAACAAATATAAGCATATTATATATTATAATACCTAGTACCTACTGGCTACTACCTAGTATACCATTGTGATTTTTAAATATTTTATCGATTTGTTAGTAATTTAGTACAAGATAAAAATAGATCATTAATTATATTAACCTCATTAGAACCATCCAAGTCTATATCCATGACAATAATAGATCTGACGTTGTCACCGGTTACTGTCCATAATATTTCATTACCTTTGAAATCAAATGCTTGAATCGAACAATTGCCACCGATAATAATTGCTGGATCTTTCATAGAATTAAGTTTGCCAATAGCAATCGCTGCAACACCATCAGGTATCTGTAAAACGATTACATTGTAATTACATTGTATAATTAATATAGTTAAATAACAAAATTAAATTAATTAATAAATTTTTTTTGAGTGCCTGATCACCTTTTGGAAAAATAAAAATGGTTCAATTTTAAACAGTGAGGTTTGCTTTTGACAAAAAAATGGATCTAATTGGTACTTCCCCGAGTAAAAACAAAAAAAATCCCTGTCATTTTTAAATTATCTTGGAAGTAGAAGTAAAAGAAAAAGAAAAAAAGAAAAACAGAAATTATTACTCAAAACCAGTTTTTGACTAGATTTACTTATTTTTTTGTACCTATAATTCAAATACGAATAACCATATTATCAGAGGCTAAAATATAATTATTTTCGTACTACACACTTTATATTAAGCTTTTAGTTACGGCGAGGGGCTTTGCCACCCCACCAAAAAAAGTGTATTGAATCTATACACATATACATAGAGTAATCAATTTCTATTTTTCTTTATCTACAGAGTATAGACTACATCGCAAGTTAACGATTTATGTCCGTATATTGGTACGATAATTAATTCGGTATCAGTGGCGTATTTACGGGGGGGGATATGGGGGATAGATCCCCCCCTTGACCTTTTTTTTTTCCTAGGTAGCTAACTAGCTAAGTTGTCTCATTTTCTCTAATATTCTTAATATGATATAATTATAAGTGAAATTACTTTCAAGCATGTATGTTTAATAAATGTTAATGTTCTAGTCGTGGTAATTGTAGTAATTGTACCGCTCTGATAGTCTGATATACTAATCGCCACTAATCGTTGGCGGCATGTACGACTATCAGGCAACAATAACTATACCTATATTATGGTGTACTGTATTTTGTACGTTTCTGCGAATTATTTTTCATGCAAGAGTGTTTATAATAAACCCGATAAGCAATCGGTAAACAAAACAAAATGACCATGAATACCGTGGATTAACCATAGGCCGGGTTTATTTTTAGAAAATTTGTTACTAGTAGATTTATGGCTAATCGCTAATGTATAGCGATTATAGATATTATTATTACATTATATTTTATCGTATGATATCGTGATTTGTGAAAAGTAGATATTACGGTCGTTGGACGTTGACGGATAGCGAGTAGCGACGCCATTCCGAGTACTGACTTACTGCCGAATTAACTATTGTTCGACTTTTATTTTTTTCGTCTTGTTAGTTGTAACTGTGAAGTTTTAAGACAATAATACAATATGAGTAATACTCAAAAACAAAAAAACACTTTATTTTCTTATTTTAGTACAAATAAAAAAATTTGTTTGGAAAATGATGAGGTAATTATAAAAATTAATAAAATAATTAATTAAAATTATAAATTGTCATTAATTGTCTTTTTTTATTAATTTGTTTATTTGGCTATTTAGGCTGCATCTGAAGAAGAAGAACATGAGTTATTGCAATCCACATCAAAACCTATTACAAATATAAATGATATTGGTAATATCGTTGATAAATCGTTTTTAAAAGATGCCGATACAAAACTTGTAAGTTTCTTTGTTCCTTACTAATTTTACATCGTTTATGATTTAAATACATTTTTATTCAATATAAATTCAGCAAATTGATTTATAATAAAATTTTAAAAAAGTTCTTCTGTTCTATAGGTGCTTACTAATCTGTGAGTCCCAGATACAAAGTATAACTTTCCTATACTTGAATGCAATAAAAAACGTGGACTGAAATTCCAACATAAGTGGCTTCATGAATGAGCATCCAAAAAAACAGAAAATTGGATTTTGTATTGTAACTATATATTATATATATATATATTTTATTATTATTATTATTATTATTTTTTTTTTTTATCGTATTAAACACGGGATTGGTGCTAGTATGAACTTATAATAAATGCTATTAGGTACTTATATATTATTTGTGTTAATTTTTATTTTGCCTTGATCCACACTAACCTCAATAGGTAACAAGTTAGGGGATTTTAAAAATGTATATTATGTACGGATTTATGGGTGTTAGGATGTATTATTATATATTTCATCCCCCCCCTAGCAAAATTCCTAAATACGCCACTGTTCGGTATTATACATAATATTGCAATAAATGCACTGAACTATAATAATACTATATATACAATACCTATTATAGCCAGTGAATTGCGAAATAAAAATCCCCGATTCTAGGAAAAAACATCCCAGACTTCAATATTAGGTACTCACATAATCACATGAAATTGATTGATTAAATGTTTTTTAAAAGCTAATTAATGTAATTACCACATTGTTAATATTTAATTATAAATAAACACAAGGTTTAGGAATAGCTATCATTAAAAAAATGATTGTATTTGTATAATAAATAGTGCTCAAACCTATTAACAATAACATTATTTTGTTTTTGATTTGAAACAACATAGGTAAATATGTTAATGGTTCTATTAAAAAAATATAGGTAAATACATTCAGACCATTCAGTAACTATTGTTTGATAATTATTTGTAATTTGTATCGATTATTCGAAATATTTTTATTTTGTAATATTTTAAATATTGTATCTATAAGTAAAACTTGTAAAATCGACTCCTAATAATACGTAATAATTATTATTAATATTTAAAATTATTATCTGTCTATTTCCCAACGAAACATCAAATAATTTTTCAATTAATGAAGAAAAAAGTGGAATAAAAAGCTAGTATAGTAGTTCTTACAGGCCATTACACACTTTTTAATTTCGTATTCCACACTTAGTATTTCGTACTACACAAAGTGTGTCGTACTAGTACTACACACAATTTTAGTCCCTGCATATTATACTATTAAGAGGACGTGATACCCGCATATGTTGTCTCCGTCTGACAAGTGCATAACATAGCAAATTTTACGCTCAGCAAAACACGTGTAGCTCTGTTAATTTAAAAAGTTCAGTAAATTAACCTCTTATAAAATCTAAAGGTAAGATTATTATCTAGACAACTTCCTGGGATTTTTATAATATTTTAATTTTTAAGCTAATTATGAGTAGGTAGTAGGTACTTTAAGATCAATAAACAATTTACAATTTTAAAATACTCATAGCTCGCTTAAAAATTAAAATATAATAAAAAGCTCATGAGGTTGTTTAGATAATAATCTTAACTTTAGATTTTATAAGAGGTAAATTCACTCTAATTTTTAAACTAAGGGAGCTCCCTTCGTCGACACGTGTTCTGCTTTGCGTAGAATTTGCTATGTTACGCACTTGTAAGTTGTGAGACGGAGACAACACATGCGGGTATCACGTCATCTTAATAGGAAGGTACATTAAATTTTTCACTAAATGTTTATATTAGCATTTTCTATACCATAGTAACATTTTCAAAATATTTTGATTCTTTCTGAGCTATTTAAGTAAATAAATAACTATTATAATAGGATTATAAATTATGTAAGTATCATTAAATACCTATGCTTATATACTTAGTAATATAGACTGACAGACCATGTCTGAAGACTGAAAGTCTGTGTCTTCGCTCACAATCATTTATACAATGATCATGATATCTATACAGGGGCGGACTGGAGTAAAAAATCGGCCAGGGCAATCATAGGTAAAGGCCCAAAAATTACTCAAATATACATTTTTTAATGGCAATAGCTTAGACAGAAGGGATTAGTACCAAGCTACAGTTTTATAGATTGCATAAAGTAGGTACCTCGTATACCTACTGACTAAATAATCACGGTCCACTAGCCCAATAAACCTGTGAGGGCCCGCAATCATATAACAGCCCAGGGGGCGATCACCCACTTCCCCTTCAGACAAGTCGGCCCCTGTATCCATATAAGTATATCTATAATCTATATATATATATTACTTACTCACAAAGTCACAATTCCGATAGATACTTTAACTCGACAGTCGACACCTACTGTAAAGCACAACGATTACCTAATTTCCCCCCTTTTTTCATTGTAGAATTTTGATAACACTTTTCTCCCCTTGGCACTTTTCACTAGGTATATAATTGTCAATACAATTTATGTATAGGTAATAATTATTTGCATCAAGTGAAAGATTATTTTTTCCGGATAAAATTGGCTGCGCACTTCAATATGGAGCAAGTTTGTTATTCGTTTCCCTATAACTTATCAATAGTTTATTTTGAAGGAAGCATATATTATTATCTAATACAATAGATAGGTAGTAAAAAAAATATTACAAGGCCCCGTTAAAATTGATCAGTGATCATAAACTATAATTATAGTGAATAAATAACATACCTATTAGGAATTATAGTTGTTAAAAGATAATTATGTATTTTTTTTTTTCTTATTGATCCTTAAGCCCGGCTTCTATGGTCATTATAGCTGTTTGTAGGGTTGTATTGTGGTGGTGGTAGGGTTTGGAATGGTAGGTTTTTTTTACACGTGAGTATTTGTGTTTAGCAGAATTTTTGATTGGGCACTCGCCACCCGTAGGTATCTGCCATGCCCGGGTGGGGGATGGCGGCACTTGTTCTCCGCACACCGTAACTTGAAAAATGCCGCCCGGTGACCAAGGATCGAACCAGGATCGGCTGCGCCGCAGCCGACGCGTTGGACCGCTCGGCCACCTTGTCACCCAATTATGTATTATATATGGGTTTGGGTGGCATACATTTTTTAGTGTAATTATACCTATACGCTTGTTAAGGCTGATGAATGTTCGTTAGTCGCCAATACTCGAGATCGGGCACTCGGTCGGTCGAGAACATTCTTGAGGAGATACTGCGGTGGCTTTACCTTTACGAGTTTACTCAAAGATTACCTATTCAAATGTCAGAGAATAGGTATATATTATGTATTTATATAATAGCTATGTCTAAATATTAAATAGTATTAGGTATATATTATAATAATATATTATGTACTCTCCTGTAGAGGATTTGATTTATCTTCTAGGGAGGTGGGGTTGATACTTTGGACCAAAAATTTTACTTTTAACTATCTACACACTTAGGCCTATGCAGAGGGAAATACTCAAATACATGTATCCAATAGCAACATTTGTAGAAAACTGTTTTGAGCCCATAGTCGCATCGAGAAATCCATAATACATAATCATTAATGAGTAATGACAATAACAAAGTTTTAAGTATTAAATATCCATATAAATAAATAACATACGTCATTATAATCGCATTAGTCTGTAAAAATTAGGACCGTTCTTACAATGTCCGGTTTTAACCGGAAATTTTTGATATTTTGATTAAAACTTCTCCAAAAATTGATATATGGCAATTTTTTAATTACTCTTTTAAATATAATATCATTTTTATGATTTTTAGGGGATAATATCAAAAATGTGGGGAAGTCGATCTCAAGTAGACTTATTGACGCCAAATCAAATCTGTTTACAGAATTCTTATCGCTTCACTCGATTAATCAGTACGTTGGAAATAGAACACGTCTATAATCCTATGTTGCACGTGTGTTAGACAAGACAGAAAATCGCCGCTTCCAATCCCCTTAACCTGTGATTTAACTCTTAACTTTTTCATTGAAAAACTTTTTTTCAATTCTCTGCGAAAATTTGGTAGAACAACGCCATCTATGAGGAAAACACCTATAAACCTTGCAATTTATTTTGGATAACGGATTTTTGTTGCGTCAGTCTGTTAATAGTTTACTTTCGGTAAAAAAACTAAAAATGTGGTTTCCGCTTGCCACTTATTAGCACAGCCTGTGTCGGCTATGATGATAGATATTATAATATATATTTTATTTGGAAATACGTACAAAATTAACAGCAAAATTACAATGAAAAGTCTCCATGGGGGGAGATAAATAAACTTAATAAGATGTTTACATACATTTAAATTAAAATATCCTATATTAATGTACAATAAATTAAATTTAAATTTATTTATTGAAAATGTGACACTATCGATGTGTAAAATGATTTATGGCGCGTACCTACTACCTTTGATAATGTTATCTAAAGCCTTACATTTCAAGGTCTTGTAAGTTGTAAGGTATAAACACAGACTATATGAAAACAGATAGCTCACTCGGCCGAAAACAATGGGAAAAAAAATAAGATCCTCTGATTGGGTGCGACCAAATCAGTGTAGCTACGTGCGTTTAAATAAATTATTGTTCAGATGTTATACAATATTATTGTATATTTGTATGTACCGATTGTAATTAGTAAGACGTAAGTTAATGACATGTGAAACTGTGAAAGACGATAGTTAAAAGTTTTTATTATTTATTAGTTTATTAGTTAACACAAGCTTTTAACACAGATAGTCAGATAGTCTGTATTTTTAACTTTACTTTATAAATTTAAATTTACATTAAAACTTTTTTAGTCTTTTAGTATTAACCACAGACCATATTATTTTATAATATAGTTAATATTTAAAGTTACATGCAATACATTTATGAGTACTGTAGACTGTAAACATGATGATGATATCATACTTTACATAAAAAAAATATTTATTTCAATATTTAGACATTTTCCATGCTTAAGGAAAACAAAGGTAAGTACATATTAAAACATAAAAATGATATATATACTAATTTGGTAATATATAAGTAAATCTATAATAAGTATTTATAGGTAGGTAATCTAAATAATTACACAGTACATAATTTATTCCTAACTTAAATATGTTTTATTTACAACATAGAGACACATATAAAGATTTATAATACAATTTACAAAAGTAATAACTAATTAATGTTTAATTTATAATTTAGTTACAGGTATTCAAACATAAATGGAGCAATTGTAGTATCATACAATTCAATTAGTATAATTAGCACATATTAAATTCTAATAAAAAAAGGTATTTATTAAATTACAATTATACATCTAAATATTTATAAAATTAATACAATTACAAAATATTGCTTTACAAATGCTGCAAAATTGCTAACTTTCTGTTTTTGATTTTTTTTTCAGATACCAAATGTCTATTTAAAAATTTAATTGAAGCATAAATTCTAAAACGCAAAAAAAAATTCAGTAAGTAATCTTTATCAAAGTTGGGACATGGATGTTCATAATCAATATTAAGCATTCTCATTTTAAGTTTATCGCCTATTCCTTTTTCAACAGACAAAATAGGAAAACTATTTATAAATTCAGATTCTAAGCTATAAACATAATTGTAAAAATTTTCATGGGGCATATTTAAATTTCCAAACGTTGATTTTTCAGCATTTTCATACGCTTTAAAAAAGCATAACAAAAATGAAGGATCTAAATTTTTTTGGGTTCTTGCATACTCTAAACATATTTCACATGAGTGTTTGGTTAGACATTTACTCATAATATATCCACAAACATAAATGAATGCATTTTGTTCAGGAATTTCTAAATTTCTATAATCAACATGTCCTATAGAAAGTGGACAGGTTTTTTTAAATTGAAAGGGTGTTTTATCAGCAAATAGGGTGCTAATGTCTAAGTCTGAATCAGTGGGCATTTGAGTTAAAATTGCATCCAAATCATTTATGCAATTTGCTTTTTCTGAGTGTTGAAAATAATTAAGTAAAAAAATTTTTTTAAATGCAAACAAAAATTGATAAGGAGTTGGATTAGTGTTATTGCCATTTTGTTGTCTAATTGTACAAAAAAGATTCTCAATAGTATCCTGGTTTAATCTGGCAGTGTATAAAACATAATTTTCTTGTTGGTTTAATGGTCTTGTTGATTTTAAGTCTTTCCAAAGTAACAGCAAGCCAGTTATGGAGATCAACCAACCATTAATAAATTTCATCCGGTTAGTAACATCAGTTTGTTCTTTTTTGCTAATAATAATTAAATTTGTAAAAAAATTATGCATATATTTTAAATGGTCTTCTTGTTCTTTTGTTTGTTTAAAGGGTCTATTGAAATTTTTTGAAGTTGGCCTTCTTGAAGAATTGAAGATATCAAAAAGTTTGTCCATATTTTCAATAAAATCTATTGTTGCCTTTGAAGAAGACTCCAATTTATTACTAACAAGGTAAGTCTCCATGCCGGCTGCTACACTTTGACTAAACACTTGCGCAGCCAAAAAAACTTTCATTTTCTCAAATGGTCCAGGAAAAATATGAGAATGTGTTAATTTTGGGGCTGTTCTTAAATTACATTTACTGTCTTGTTCAAAAAATGATATTAAGTGTTTTTTTTCAATTAAGTTATTATTAAATTTAAAATTGTGTTGAAAAAACATATTTCTTGTTAATTTTAATAAATGGGGAGGGTCAAATATATATATTATTTTTTTTTCACCAACTTTAAAAAAAGGCCTGGCTGGGGTAACATTAACATTTTTACTGAAACTAACAAAGTTAGAACCCATATCAGTAATAAAAGCTTTTACATTTAATCCTATATCAAAAAGTTTGCGAATAGTTTCAAAAATAATATCCTGCAAGTCATATCCGGTACAACTACTTGATACTAAAAAGTATGCAATTGGTTGTTTCCAGTTAACATTTATTCCTCTAACCATTAGAACAAATGCATACTTGGCAGGAGTATAAGTCTTTGTCTTATTTGTTTGATGAAACCCTATAATTTCATCTTTGTTTAACATATAATAGAGGTTTGATTTTAAGGCCATTTCATCTGCACAGAGAACACATTCTTTAGCTTCGTCAGTAAAATATTTAATTTTATACTTAATAATATTAAAAAAAAATTCATTCAAGCCTGGTATCATTTCAAATTTATGAGTTAACCGTTTTAAAGTAGAAATTGATGGTAGTGAAAGAGTATTTAATAAAAGTTTATAGACTCTAGGTCCTAAAAAATAAATATTTAATGCTAATTGTTTAATTTCATTATTATATCTATAACCTTCTTTTTGTTTTTTTTTTTAAATTCATTTGGGATTTGACAATTGTAAATAATCCAGGTGATAAATATTTTTCACCTAATTTTAAAAAATTTTCAACTGTATCATAGTTAGCTAATTGTTGACTTAGACTTACTACAGTCTTCTTTAAATTTTTTATTTCTTGTTTTCCAGATTTAATCTCCGTGACTAGTTTTTGTTTCCTTGGTGTATTTGCCGATAAATATCCAGGTGTTTGATTTGAAGAATCAGTAGTTGTGATTGAGCTACAAGATTCATTTGAAGCATCAGAAGTATTCATGGATCCACTAAAATGACCTCTTAATCCTTCAGTGCCTGGAATTGAACTACTACAGCTACTCTGGTCTTTTGAATTATCATCAAAATACTGTGGATCTACATCGGTTTTCGACTGTAATTTGGCCAATTTAGTTCTTTCAAACATTATTTCATCTAAAAATTAAATTCAAAAAAACGTAACTAAAATTAAAATTAAATTATTAAACCAAAAATTACTTTATTAAGATCCAAATTTGTTTTTCAAATTATTTGTATAATTTTTAAACATGTTTTAATAATTTTATTATTTACTTACCATTAAATATTGTTGGAATAGCATTGAAAACTAGTCGGTTTTTTGTTGTGGAGTTCAAAAACATTGAATCTACAAAGTGATCCCCACATACTTTATAGCTATTTTTTTTTGATAGTTCTTCAGTCAAATTTTCTGTACCACAATTTTTTGTCCATAATGCTAAACGATCGTCTTTTGGATATTGGAAGAAACTTATATTCCTAGTACTTGCTTTACTTTTGCAAAATTGTACAGAGCAACGCATTCCTGTTTTTTTACTATCCATTTTAAAATTAAGAAGTACAACTAAATTGTAAACTGAAAATTAAGTAAACTACACACTTGGTCAGTGGTCAACTAATAAGTCACATGGAAGTCGTGCAAACAGCAACTAAAGGCCAAGATAACCTATTTTCTAAGGGATGTAAAAGGTCAGATCCTATAGAATAGAAGGGTAGTTAGTATGAATTTCAATGTTGGCGGCAGGTAGCAATCGCGTCATTTTTTTGTCATGGACCAAACGAAATGTTATGCCCTCACTGTGGTCACACTGATTTGGTCGCGGTGATAATATTCATAGTTTTTGTTTACATCCCGAGTGAGCTATCTGTTTTCATATAGTCTGTGGTATAAATGTGAAGTGTGAGTGTTTGACTATCTACCTTTTGCTGTTTGTTTTTTAATCTATGGACCTGTTTCCATTATCCAATGACGTGGGTAGTGTGTTCGACGCTTGTGGTCTACTGCATAAACAGTGTAATCCGTAGTTCGTGCAACACGTGTTTGAATTGTTCAAATTAAAATTATAATCAAAAACTAAAATTTTTAATTTTTAAATATGGCTGTTGATCGTCGTTCTATTATTACTAATCTCTATGATATAAACGCATTGAAATTTGGTACATTTCAATTAAAATCAGGTGAATTATCAAAATATTATTTGGATTTAAGAGTGATTGTGTCGTACCCAAAAATACTAGTAAGTTTTAATGATTTATATTGAAGACAACACTATTCACTATCTACGTATGTTGTGTCAATGTTCAACAAAATAATAAATCAAAATTGCATGCAGCAATAACTAATTTTCTGTTTTTAACTTTAATATTAGAGTGAATTGACCCAAGTATTATCAAGCTTAAAGGCAAGAACATTATTTGTCTTAGTATCTTGGTATTAATGATATTTCAAATTTTAAGTGAGTTATATGAAGCTCTAGGAGTAGGACAGAGGACTTGTAGCTCTAAAAAATACTATAATATGCACAAAAAAAATTTTTTCCGTGGACTAATTTAAAACAGTTTCAAAAAAGTTTCAAAAATATCAAAAATAAGATTAACAATTAGGTACCTTCATAATATAATTATGTTATACCATGACCATATTATAAATAAAAAACACTTAGTTTTAATGAAACTTTTACTTATTGAATAACTACAAAAGTAAAATAAATATCAAACAGAACGTGTGTTTGACCGGTTAAAAACACACATAGTGTGAAGTGAAATGTGAGTATGACAGTTAGCTGTAGCTAAACCTTTATTACCACCTAATGCTTATCAGTCTGTGACAATTATCTATCTATAAATAAAATTAATAAACCGAAAATGAATTTAACAGGCCAACCTTGAACGTTTTTAGGATTAACCAGTAGGTAAATTATATTATGATAAAAATAAAAAATTAATTTAACTCTAAGAAAAATAATATTAAAATATTGATTGTAATTATTAGTATTTATAAATTACTTATTTTTGAATGATTAGGTTGTGCTATGACCTAATTAATTAAAATATGTATTAAAAGGTATAAAATGAAAGAAATATGCCTTAAAAGCAAAACATGCACTCATATGCAGAATAAAAATACAAAACTAGCTTGGTTTTATCATAAAATGTATTTGTTATGTATGTAATTCAAATAAGCAAATGGTACAAGTACTTTGACCTTAATAAGTAAGTACCTATATAAAATATTGCAATTTAAAAATGCTAATATTTCACTTAAGAATTAAAATATTTTAAAACCCCAACATACAGATCATCTGAACAAATTCTTTAGGTTTGATAATTGGTCATTTAGGTCTGATATTACAACTAACAACATTAAATTGGTTTTGCTGAATGCAAATTTGTTATATTACACATTTGTAACACAGAAACAACATATGCAGGTATACCGTGTTAACGTATTATTAATACTAGTAGGTACCTCCTAAGTAAATTTTTACACAATTTTTTTAGAAACAAGTTTGCACCCTTGTGTCAACCACTATCCTCAAAGATGAAGCTAACTCTAAAAATCAAGTGCGTTTATGTGGTGTACCTTACACAGCTTTACCCATAGCTACTATAGTATCAATAGATACCAATTTACCAATGTTAATTCGCAGAAAAGAACAGAAAACATATGGCACAAAAAAATTGATTGATGGTGAATATTCTTGTGGTGATGATGTAATTGTCATTGAAGATGTAATTACAAGTGGTGCTAGTATATTAGAAACCGTAATTGTAAGTATTATAATCACAAATTGAAATTTCTTAATAGTTAATACTCTTTATATTATATTTTATTTATTATAACTCTGAAATACAATTAAAATACAATTTTAATATTATTTTATATTTCTGATATTATAGTTTTAAATGTGATTTAATTTTCCGTACTTTACTAAAAAGTTTACATGTATTGTTTTAGGATTTGGAGAAAAGCAATTTAAATGTATCAAATGTTATTGTTTTAGTAGATAGGCAACAAGGAGGCATGCAACGTTTAAGTGAGAGAGGACTCAAGATCAATAGCTTGTTCAACATTACTGAAGTAAATTTTAAACTCTACTTTAAACTTTACTCTCAAATCTAATTATTAAAATATTTAAAGTTAAGAGCTTGAATTAAATAAAAATAAATCTTTAAAATTGTGTGATAATATAAGTTAGTTTTAAGATTTAACGAATAATTTAAATACTTTTTTATAAGTTAATAAAATAAATATTCAATCTAATAATTTTTAACTTATGTTTAGATTGTAACAATACTTAAAGAAGAAGGAAAATTAAGTGATGAAGTTTATCAAAGTGTTATAGGTTATATTATAAATAATCAAATTCAACCTGCAAAAGAATGTGGTAATAATTGAATTAATTAATTGATTTGGCACTGGTTTAATATGTTGTCTACAAATATTTCTATTTCAAATTGCATGGATTAGTAAGATACATATTTAAATTTGCAGGACCTGAATTTTTTTAGGTTGTTTATAATTAGAGCACGGTTTGTATGCATTAAAAATCAACCAAAAATGCTCTAAAAAATCTTAAATATGCATAAATATATGGACTCAAAAATTAGGAAAAGACATTTATTTCCTGAATATTTAATTTAAATAATAAATTTGAAATTATGGAACGCTACTATACTCCTTGCCACGAGAAAAGTAACCTGCTACTCGTATGCAGACTGACGGCAGAGACCGTTCCAAGACCCCGTTTCCCACCACTTTACAACATGATACTTACTAATAGTATTACCATATAAAGTTGCCGACCGTTAACGATCGCGATCATGCAACATCGACATGTCAAATAGGTGGGGGATACGCGGATTTGACCGCAATTTAGTCGGGACTCGGGTTACTTCTCTTGTGGCTCAGAGTATATAAATACTTTTCTTTTAAATATCTGTATTTGGTTGGTAATTTTAATCTATAAGAAAAAATTAATTTGAGAAAACCGTTTATACCAATGAGTTATGAGTATACTTGTTAATTTATTTTGATATTAATCTAAACTATAAAAATACATTATTTTTCCTATATTTACAAAAGAAGTTATTTCAAAAATGTTTAAAAAAAAAAATGAAAAACACCGAAATATGTACTTATAGATTAAATATGCAATTAAAATCGTAAAATAAAAAAAAAATGGATAAATGTCAAAATATGCAAATATGCACCATAAAAGTATCACAATTTAAATTGTTATGTCATGAAACAAATTCTGTGCTCACCTAACATATCACACATTGAACCAGAATAAATAGGTATGCAATTGCATACAAATTTGTGCTCTATTTATAATACAAGTAATGAGATAATAAATGACCATAGCTTTTAATAGTTAATAGTTATGTCATCATTCTACATTTCAGTAACCAGCTTATAATGTGGGGACAAATAAAGCCTTATTTACTACACATTATATTGTAATAAATAGCGGTTATTGAAAGATTTTTTAAATTTATAAAGTTCTGTTGACTTAAACTTGACTCCAACATTAATTTGATATGGAAGACAAATTAAAAAGTACTGAATAATATATTATAATTATAATGTATTTAATGTTAATATAAAATGGTCAAAAAGTATTTTATTACTATTTAGTATAATATATTTTATTATGTAGATAGCATACTAAACTAATGTGCAATATCTGCTTTATATTTTATGATAACTTTAACTTATTGATAAAGATTTTTTTCCATTAACTCATCGAAATAAATTCTAACAATTTTAGAAACTATATTTTGTACAATATTTGAAAAACCTTTCTTTGTTATTTTTTTTTACTTTACCCTCACCTAGGGTTGATAGCTTTATTCAGTAATCAGTCCTACATTGGTATACCGGTTATTGCTCAAATAACATTTGAATAGTATACCATAATACCGAAGTAATACTGTATACTATATGGGTTGTCGTCATTTACGATTTTATCGGTATACTGGTTCCAGTACTGCAATACCAGTATCAATGTTCAATACCATTAACCCTAGTTTTACCACTGGTATTTCTGATTATGTGCATATTTTATAGTTATTACTTATTTAACACTGTTATTTAATTTTTTTTTTAGAAAAACCATTAAGAACACAATTAGAGTTTAAAGAAAGAGCTGAATTATTAGAAACTTCTAAAATAGCTCAGAAAATCTTTAAGATAAGCTTAGAAAAGAAAAGTAACTTATGTGTAGCAGTTGATGTTGATACTGCTGACAAACTTTTAGATATTGCTGAAAAAGTAGCACCACACATTTGTATTTTAAAAACTCATATTGATGCCATTAATGGTGTCACAGATTCTACTATTAATGATTTACAACTCTTAGCCAAACAGTATAACTTCCTTATAATGGAAGATAGGTAATTAAAATGATAGGTATTGGTTTAAACATATTAATATTTAATTCATTTCTATGATTACAGAAAAATGGCAGATATTGGTAATACTGTTAAATTGCAATACAAAAAATTAGTTGATTGGGCAGATTTAGTAACAGTACATAGTGTTTCTGGTGGCATGATGTTAAAAGGCATTCAAGAGGTGATAAATGAAAACACAGACCATTGCCGGGGTGTGTTTATTGTTGCAGAATTAAGTTGCAATGGAAATTTAATATCAGAGCAATATATCAAAGGTAAGTTATATTAGAGTATATTTGATGAAACTACCAAGAACATCTCAGTGATGTGTAGCTGCAACAATATATTACAGTGGATTCCGCCTAATGTGGGCACCAGAATATGGGAAAAATGGGCCAAATGGTCTGGTCCCAATTCCAGTGTATACTAACTAACTAATTTTGGTTTATATGACCAACCGGTTAATGTGGTTAAATGAGTATGGTCCTAATGTATCCACATTAAGCGGAATCCACTGTATATACAGTATGTTCACGCTAAGCGGTACCACTGAATATCTCAGATGGGTGACATTGTATTGAAATGGGGTTTTCGGGAGATGATAGGGAGCACTTAAATACATATTTTCAGACCAGTTTCAAATTTTTAGCTCACTCGGTACGCGCGACAGAGTGGCCGAGCGGACTAAGGCGTCGGTTGCGCCAGTTCAAACTCGGCTACGGGCGGCATTTTTCTTTTGGCAGTCACAGTGTCTGGATAGAGAAACCGTCATCCCCCACCCTGGCATGGCAGATACCTACGGGTGCCCACTTAAAAATTCTGCCAAAACAAACACACACGTAGGTATCTGCCATGCCCAGGTGGGTATGGCGACATGTCTGCCTCTCTCTCCAGACACTGTGACTGCCAAAATAAAAATGCCGCCCGTAGCCAACCGACGCCTTAGTCCGCTCGGCCACTCCGTTCCCCACTAAACATTTATTTGGCACTTATTTTATTATTTCCAGTGGTTGTAAATGAAAATTGCATTAAACACATATTATGCATAAATCCAATTTTTAACTTACTCTAACTTGGTCAGTTTTTAAAATAGAAAAACTTTTTATACAATAAATATTTAAAAAAAAATACTCTACCCGAACCTGCAGAAAAAAACTGGGGTTGCCATTTAAAAAAATGTAAGTCGTATTGCGCATGCTCGTACCGAGTGAGCTAAAAATTTGAAACTGGTCTGAAAATATGTATTTCAGTGCTCCCTATCACATCCCGAAAACCCCATTTCAATACAATGTCAACCATCTGAGACATTCAATGGTACCTCTTAGCGTGAACACACTGTATATAGTATATAAAACAATTATACCAGAAATGTATAATGTTAGGGCTACTCAAAAACAGAAATGTCAGTGGACCATTCTGGTTAATAAAGACAATTTTATACTTTGGTTTTTTTATTGTTATCCATTAAATATTTATAGAGACTGTGAAGATAGCTGAAGAGTATAAAGACATTGTGGCTGGTCTAGTGTGCCAGTCGCATGATGTTATTTCATCTCCAAGCCTACTTCAACTTACACCCGGTGTTAATATTAAAAATACCAATGATAATCTCGGCCAACAATATCAAAGCCCTAGCGACATTATTTTAACCAAAGGAGCTGATATTGCAGTAGTAGGTAGAGGAATTTATCAAGATGATAATCCTGCTGAAGCAGCCAAAGTATACAAAGAATCGTTGTGGAATACATATTTAGAACGTGTGTCAAATTCTTGATTACACTATAATAACAAATATGCCAAGCATATAATTAATTAATAAATACCATTAATTTGGTTTATTTTTCATAAATGTATACAGCTATTTTTGCTACCCATGTTTTTACTATCATATGATAGGTATTAATTTGTATTGCTTAATAATTTCATTGTTAGGTACTAAATTTTAATTATAAATTATAACAATACTTATATGCATATTGTTGTTCATTAAATACGTAATAATATTTAACAAATTGTATTTTTTTCATAACTTTAAATATTTTATATTTGACATTTATGAAATAATAAACATATCTTTTCTTATTATTATACAATTTAGGAATGTTATAAACAAGAAAGTTAGCAACTCACAATTGCTGTTAATTAAGGTACACAATTGTCTTTTTTTATAATTGAGAATATAAATATCCATGACATTTTTTCACGATTCATTAGCATAACTTACATTATTATTATACTGTGCTCCAATGATAGTGAGAAACAGTTTTTACTAACATGCTCATTGAAAATACACAAAAATTACTTATACTCATATTATTAATATTTGTGCTTTATATGTATTTTGCAGTTCATGCCAGTTTGTAGTAATGAATCGTTTTGTCATATTCACATACTGCAAGCATAGGTAATTTGTACCTATCGGAAATTGTATTTGTTACACTTGCATCAATTTTAGTCTCAACTTTTTTAAATTCTATTCAAATATGTACAATTTCTTAAACTTTTGCTTACCTCTTTAAAGAATAAATCACTGTTGAGATCTACATTATAGGCCAATACACTGCCCACTGTTCCTACTACAAGTATATCTTTTTCATCGTTTGGAATTGCTTTTCCTGCTACTAAAGCTGTAATTTTTTGATTGATATTCAAATATGATATGTCCTTTTCTGGCCTGTGTGGACTATGTATTAAAATCTATAACAAAATAAATTAAAAAATTTGTTACTTTTCATATCAATTTAAAAATATATAATTTTAACATAACCTAAGTATTTGATTTCTAATATTATAGTTATACACTGTTTAAATGTTTATTATTTTATGTTTACAAATTTTATTTATTTTTTTTTTAATCTTATGAATATTATATCTTATGAAAGAATAAAATTAATATAATATGTTTAAATGTAAAAATATAAAGAAGATTTTCTAACTATAGAACATAAAAAAAATAATATTAATATAGACAGTGGCGTACATTAAATTGCCTTATGGGGGGGGGGGGATTAAATAATATTATATATATTATATTATTATATATGTTTATCAGAGTGCTCCACCCAATGGAATATGTTATATCAAAGACGAAAGACCATAGTTGTTAAAACATTTAGAGTTCACACTCATTTTTGTAATAATACTTTTATTAAAAATTTGAAAACAACTTAAAAAAGGTAGGCAAGTGGGTGTCGCTCTGCTGTACAGTAGGTTACAAGTGGGTCACCGTGATGGATGGTGTTAAATTTGAATTCAATGATATAATATCATTGTATAAGAATAACGATTCCGAGCAGAGACAGTTTGTCAGTCTAGGTGTTGGTAAGACATATTATATACTTATCTATGGTATTAAAAAAAATTAACCTATAATAGGTACCTATAATTAATTACAAATTAATCATATCACAATATCCGCATGAGGTACCTACTTATAATGCATTATACATCAACAACAAACTCTGATACTATCATAGATATATAATAGTGTACTTTAGAAGTTTCAAGTACCCACGAATAATATTGTACAATCACAACAAAATAACTAAAATATAGTTGTTCTAAGTTTTTTTTATGTAATTTCATCCAAATTTGAACTTAAAATGACTATAAAAATAAACTGTGCTTATGTATTTTTTAGATTTTTTGGTAACAGAATTAACTACTTACATGGAATCTTGTTTTAAATTTTCAATCCTTAAATATAAAACATTTTATACATTTTTAACTATAAAATAATTATTAAATTTTAAATTTGATAAATTTTGTCAAAATTCGATCAATAAATGCTTATAAAAAAAAATTGTGCCTATATATTTTTAATATTTTTTAACTGATTTTGTAACAATAGGTATATCAGGAATTCAGGAGCCTTGTATTAAATGTTTACACTTTTTGGCCCAACAGATAGAACTTTATTGATATTTATAGAAAAAAAAACTAAAAAAAATGAAAACTGGAAATGTCCGTAAACAGCTCAAAAAGCATCAAAATATTTTCAAAATTGTATGGTGTATAGGAACTGCTAATATAAACATTCAGTGGAATTTTCATGTATCTACAGCTATTCGTTTTTGAATTACAACAAAATAAGGAAATAGTTACATGAGAAATTGAGTGAATATCCAATGTTGTAAAAATTTGAATTTCAAACGCTCATAAAAATTTAATTTGATTTTCTTATAGACATTTTTTTTTTGATAAATGTTGATAATCTTATAAGGAATCTTGTATTACATTTTAAAATCTTAGATTTAAAAAGAAAAATTTTTACGAATTCTTAGCTCAAAATAATTTGCTAATTTTCGTGATTTTTCCATATTTTGTCAATTTTTGAACTTTAAATGCTTATAAAAAAAACTGTGACAAAGGATTTTTAATATTTTTCATCCGCCTTTGAAACAATATACTAGGAGTCTTTTATTAAATTTTCAAGTTTTTTCAACCAACAAATTAAATTTTATTGATATTTTTAGAAAAAAAAATGAAAGATGAAAATGTCCCTAAACAGTTCAAAATAAATCAAAATTTTTAAAAAATGTTATCGTGTATAGAAAATGCAAATATAAACAACCAGTGAAAATTTCATGTATCTACGGTCATTTGTTTTAAAGTTACACCAAAAACCAAATTCGATTATATGAAAAATCGATTTTGCTTAAAAATTCCCGTTTTTCTTTTATTTTAATTTTATTTTTCTTGGCGCTTTTGAAAATTACTGGGAATTTTAAATTTTGACCTCCCTAATGCAACAACGATATTCACTTTCCAATCGAACAAGATACTGAAGTTTAAAATCGAAGCATTATTTCGACTAGGTATTTATCGTGTACACAGACAGACACAAATAAAATAAAAAAACACACATCATTGTAAAATCAATACATTCATCGTTTCACTCAAAATCTAAAACACACATGATACATTATTGTGAAATCAATACATTCATCTTCCTCTCACAATCTAAAATAGTAACTAAATTATAATTCACTTCAAAATGAAAGTGTCACTAATGGGTGGCTGCTCTCCTCAAATTATTCACTGTTATAAATAATCTTCTATATCATATTTACTTATTGTGCAAATTGTACAGATTGTAAATTTTCTTAAAAAAATAAAAATAAAAAATTATAATTCACCCTTGCCTTATTTTCAGATGTTGCTGCAGTCAAACAATGATGTGATCCATCGTATTTACCTATTGTAACCAAATGTGGTATTATACTATGTCGTAACTGTAATGAAAATAAAGGAATAGCCATTTTACATCTAATTGAATAGCGCTCAAGTTGTAAATACTTATTATATTATATATTAATTACAATAATACTGTGTTTGATTGTACCTACATACAAATCTATACAATATCTTATACTTTTGGTTTGTATATAAACCTGCATAATACTGGAAACCATAGTAACCAAGTAAGTAGTAACTATAGTATCTACTGTTTACATAGTACATACCTACTAGTATGATTAGTATGCTACAACTGACCAATATAATATACCCAATGATCATAGGCGTGCACAGCCACCGGTTTCAGGGGCAGCAAGAGATTAATTCGGCCCATTTTTCAAATTCGCCATTAAAACCAGCCCATAGTTTTACTTTTTTTACTATTGGATATCAAAATTAAAATTGTATTGGTTATTTGTTTTTTTTGATATAAGGTTGTACCGTACGGTACTAAGCCACTAAAGGTGTACTTTTCTAGTTTTCTATAAGCCCATATAAAATATTTATCTATAGTTTATCAAAACAAAAAAAAATCCTTTGTGGAAATATAATTTTACCGAGGCCCATCATTTAATATTTGCTGGCCTCGGTGGCCCCAAAGAAAGTCCAGGGGCAGCATATGCTGCCTCTGCTGCCCCCGTGCGCACGCCTATGCCAATGATACTACCTATTACCTACTTATTGTCAGTAAATAGCGCTTAGCATAGGCACCTAGGTGCATATTGTATATTTATATCAGTGCCGTAGACTGCTTTTTTATGAACTATGGCGTTTTATATATAGTAACAACTAACAGGTGATAAGTATTCTACTTCTAAAAAAACTAATGAAAAAAATTTAAAGCTAATTACATAGGTAGTAATCGGAAAAAAAAAATGTGTCTATTAAGTAATATAACAACATGTCAACATACGTAAGCGAACTGATTAACTCCTGTTTTTAACTGACTGCAGACTGACCAAGATATTATAGCTATACCTATCACTCACAATTTATACTTATGACAATAGCTCATAACTGACTAACTAATTTTATTATTATATTTCATATTTTTTTATTATTATGTACCAAATTATTATTATTAGATCCAGTATTCTCCTATTTATACGTTAATTTTCAAGATTTTCAATGGTACGTCACCTTTTTTTTTAAAGATGTTGAGGGAGTCATTTTTATAATTATTATTTTTATTAGGTACCTACATATTTTCTTTGTTAATTATAATAGGACATTCCTAGCGGCAAGCCTATAAAGCTATCTACATTTATGGGTAATTGGTAACATTCATTTTTGACTATTTTAACATGATAATAATTATAAGTAGGTAGTAATAATAACGATAAACAACAGTGACAACAATAGTAATAATTTAAGGTTAATCATATAGTCATATAGACAATAATAAAAGTGTGGATGAAGAATATAATATTATTTTTATTTGTAATTATTAGATATAGTTTACAATATTTATTTAATAATCATTAAGGATTACCTACGACCTACCTATTAAATTAAGTACTTTATAATATACAATAATAATATTATAGGTAGGTACCTATAATAATAATAATAATAATAATAGAAATGACTACCTCAATTATTTTGAGTTAGAAATTCCTAAAAATGTATACTGATTTTATAAGTAGGGCTGGGATTTGGATACCCTTGTGGTATCACCCGTATTGGATAATACGCGGTAAACCAACTTTATACCTTACCCTCGTACGCTCTAGGCTAATGACTGTCTCTAGAATAAATTCAGATTAGCACTGTTAACTTTTGAGGTACGATGGTAGCGTTTTGTCAGTTCTTCGTTCGTTTCCTAAATTGGAATGACTATTAGGACGCCACAACCAGAGCACTGTTCAGTTTGTAATAAACCTCATTGACTATAGGTGTGTGGGTCTGAGCACTGTTCCAATATTAAAGGTAAGAACGAAGAAGACTTTGAAATAAAACTCAACTCGGGTTTTTAGGTCGGAAACACTTTTATTATATTAAAACAAACATAAATGAAACACTTAGCAAATTCAAATCGTCTAGCCCGTACTATGATCGACGTTTCACACGTACGACCACAGTACCTACGTCCTCGCCGATTCACTCAGCGACAACGGGACTCTCTCGTGCCTGCGCGTGCGGCGGTGTTATATAGTAATCTTATCGCTGTCTCAGCACATATGCTTCACTGACCTATGTCAATAGTTTACAATTTAAAATGTTCCCACCTCTATTACATATATGAAATAATATTTTGACGACTGTCTACAATATACGACACCCTAAATAAACTCAAAAAATGCCCTTAAGAAAATGCAAAAAGTTATTCGGTCGGCTTTAATCCTATTTCAATTTAATTATATATTGAATTATTTTTAATTAGTACTAAATTGTTCTTTTAATAACTATAAAATAAGTTTAACTTTTAAGTTTTTAACTGTCAATCAAATGTGTGCTTCATCGTATGAACGATGTAAAATGTGCGGTTATGAACGGTAAGTGTGTGGTTCTGACTTCTGAAAACCGCCGCTCAATTTGTTAAAAGATAATTTTGTTTAGTTTTCCGCTCTGTTCGATATGTTTCTGAAATCTGATTTTAGTAATTTTAGGTACCTAGTTTCCAATTTTTTATAATGTAAACAGACGTACTGTACACAGCTTGAGACTCCTATCAAATACTATAGATAAGTACCTAGTATTTACTTCTATAATAGTAGGTACCTAGTTAGTAGGTTTTCTCGTATTTCACAGTACACTACAATAGATACGGAACTTTTGAATCTTTGTTCACCGTTTTCTTGGTTGCCGATTAGATAATTTACACGGATACGTAAATTGTAAATAATGAGGTGTAAATAAGGTGCCTTTGGTATAAATTTTAAAACCATGAAAAATTAAATTTAAATTCAATCTAATTTGTCAAGACATAGTCTATACTCTATATTACTATAGCACTTATAGCAGACTAGCAGAGGTATTCAAACTGCGTCTCGAGGGTTTTCGAAGGTAGCCTCGTCAAAGCACCAGAAACCAAAATTAATGTAGGTCAAGTTTAATTATTATAAATATTATTTATAATCATTAATGCGATTATGGAAACGATAATGAAACACGTTCCTCGACTATTTGAAGTTTTATTTCTATATAGTACTAAAGTCACTGTAATCTTCACCTGCATATTGACTGTATAATATTGTACCTATCCGTATTGTTTCAATATTTGCATAATAATTTGGGAACACACAAAGAAGCCACGTGATGTCACGATGAAAAAGTTTAAATACCTACCTCTGGTCTATAGTAAATTTGATCATTTTCACCACAGACATATATATGGGTTTATGGATTATTGGGCTATTGGCTATAAATTATAATTATTATGCTATACAGTACATCCGCGATTTTCACCATAAACATTCTTTTATTTTATTTTATATATTTTCACGAGGTATTTTTACATGAATAAGTATACATTTTATAAATTATATTTACATTTGACAAATGACAATACTACAATAGATACTTAAGTACCGTAAGTGTAGAGACTAGAGAGTTAATAAATATTTATTGTTTTAGCTTTATATAGATACGTGTACAATGGCAACAGTATTTAAAAATTATATAAATTTATTATCATTAAAAAGTAAAATTTGGGTCGTAATTGGCGTTTGACATAGGGGCCTATGTAAATATATAATCCCCTAAACATAGGGGCTCGAATAATTTTCGTTTATTTTATTTAGGTAAACATAATATGGTTGGTAATTTAAAACAGGCACAAATTATAAACAAATAGTTTGTATCATATTATACTTATCTATGGTTGGTATTGTATTTTAAGTTACGCGATTGTAAATCTTAATTTATTCTGAAAAATACAAAAATATTATAAACAAAACAGATATAGATCTGTAGAAGAAAGTAAAGAATTATATTATATATTATTTTTTTAATAATTCTATAATATTATAAATTATAATATGTAGGTAATGATAATATTTCGTAATAATTACGCAACAATCATAAATAGTAGTAAATATTAAATAAAACTGAAACTGAACTATTTACTAGGTACAATAATAACGTCTTCAATATTGATATATAAGTTACCTACTACTAAGCAGTGGCATAGCCAGAAGGGGGGGGGGTAAGGGGCAGCCCCCCATTGACTGTTAACCTTAGAATTTTATCAAGAGTAATAAAAAAATAAAAGACATTGTATTTGTATACAATATTATAGTATTACCCCCCCCCCCCCCCTAAATACAAAATTCCTGGCTACGCCACTACTACTAAGGTACATACTACATAATATGTACATTTAGACATACTAGAAAAATTATAATCATTCTATATTACATATTTTGTACTAATATAATAAATTGTGTTAGAAAATTAACGACTATTTGTTTTGAAATTATTCGAAAACCTACATTTTTATTTGAATATTTATAAAAAATAATGTTTCCAATTATAATATTTTCAAATTATTCAAATAATTTTTTATCCGAATAAGGATATTTTCAAACTATTCGAATACATTTTTATTCAAATAATTGTAAAAAAATCATTCGAATAATTATCTAGATACAATTTTGCCCAACTCTGGGGCTTAGCTCAGCTTCCCCGACTACGATTTAGCCCCCCAAAAATAACCCTTAATCCTTATTGATTATAGATAAAGGCCCCCTGTGCATTATTTTAAATTAATAGTTTTGTTAGAAAGGCCCCCCCCCCCCGAAAATTGTTAAATATTAACAACTTTTCATTAATAAATCTTTTCAGATAAAATTTGTCAAAAATGTATTTTAATCCCCACCGAAAAAAATTCTGGATATGTCACTGGTTACATCAGTACAACACGTCGACACCGTGGCCAGTGACAGCCATAGACATATAAAACTGTTAAAATTGTTTTATATGTCTATGGTGACAGCAAACAAACTGTTTGAACTGTTCAGTGTGCGCTTGACGGCTGTGCCCACTGCTCAGTTCGCGATGATAACGTTTATAATTATATTTC